CAATCAGCCTAACATACATGTTTTTTGTCTGTGGGAGGAAACCGGAGTACCCGGAGAAAACCCACACATGCACGGAGAGAACATGCAAACTCCACCCAGAAAGGCCCCTAGACTGGGATTTGAACCAAGGACCAGCTCGCTGATAGGCAGCAGCTCTACCAGTTGCGCCACCGTGCTACTAACCGATACCAATACAGATTTTTTTTTTTCCTAGACTTACTTACATTGACTACACAGCTTTCTCTGCTGTGGAATTAAAATACTACATTATTCTTCATGGTCTTTGTCAATTTGGCCAGATAGCAAATGCAGATGCCAAAAAGGGGGCTGAAAATGATGCCTGGATTGGATCCACATATTTTCAATAATCTTCACCCTCTTTCTAACCTTTCATTCATTCCTAAAATTCTGTAAAAAACAGTCGCTTCTCAACTCCATCTCCATTTAACCAAAACAGTGTTTACGAACAGTTCCAGTCTGGTTTCCACCCTGGTCACAGCACAGAATCTGCTCTCCTTAGAATCACTAACACTCTTCGTCGCAAGTCCATCACAGGGTCACATGGAGACAAACAACCATTCACTCTCTCACTCACACCTAAGGACAATTTAGAGTTACCAATCAGCCTAACAGACATGTTTTTGGTATGTTGGAGGCTTCCTGGACTGACAACATTAAAATGGTGGTGGGAAGGGTGAATCACCCACACCTATCTTCACCCTCATTTGCTCCACTCCGGGCCCTTGAGCAAGGCCCTTAACCCCCACCATCTGCTCCCGCATGTGCCCTAGATGGCAGCTCTCTGCTCCACACAGAGGGCTGTGGTAGCTCGGTGGTCTGTGGTTGCGTCAGGAAGGACATCCAGGGTAAAAACTATTGCTAAGTCTTCGTGCAACTTAGTTTGCTGTGGCAACCCCTGAAGAAGGGAGCATCTGTTTCTTTGGATCTGTCCAACGGTTAGTTTCCCGGGTCATTTGTCAAAAAGTTGCTTTAGAAAATATATTTTTGAAGACATTTAACTGTAAAAAGCTGACCGTTTCCTAAAACTGATCTGAAGACAAATTTGAAATAACTTCACCATTTTTTTTAACATGTTCTTTTTCTGTTTTCACTGTTTTAAAATAATTTCAGGCACTATTGGCTCCATGATCGCTCCAACTCTGAAACTTGGTATTGCTATTCTCAATGGAGGGAATGCCACAGTTCAGCAGGTGAAATAACGCTTTTGCCTCCTGCCTGGAATTTACACACAATACTTTTCATGTGGCTGCTTAGGGTTTTCCTTTACGATTATTAGAATTACACAAAATAAATAAATACCAAATAATTCATTTGCATAACAAAAATGATAAAGTTATTCCTCTACAATCCATCCTGACTCCAACCTCATATGCTGTTAGTGCATGTTGTCCGATCCACTGAGGCCCAAATTCCTTCAAGTTGAAACATCCAAACTCACAATATGTCATTGGTTTTATAAGTAATCATAACAGTTTTTGCTCCTCATGAGTACAATTATTGAAAATTGCCCAGTATTTTCCATAGAAGACTTATAAAAATTACACTGCAGAAAACTAACAGAGCATATATTATAATGATGTCAGCTTTAAGTGAGACATTATTAAACCTTGTCTTTGATGACTGTGTTCAAAAAGCGTTCAATACAAAAACAACTGGAATTTATTTGTAACAGAAGACGTTTCGCTCCTCATCCGAGGAGCTTTCGCAATTCAAAGAGCAG